TCTGTCTTGCAGGTACTCGGGGCGTCCAGTGAGGTAGAGACAACAAATATACTGGTACATTATTGACACACAACGCGAAAATAGCGACAAAACAAGTCTAGAATGTGAGAATCAGAAGATCATGGTAAAATGAAAAGGTCATTTGAGTCATAAAAACACTTAACTGTGGGAAGCAAGGTCAGCATCAAGCGCTATGGTCGTCTCAAGACTGGGCGTCAACGGTTGCAGAATGGGAGGTTGCTGCCCGACCAAAGTGACGACAAGTCGGTCTGGAAGCACTCCGCATAATAATCGACCGGACTGCATGAACCAAAGTACCCTCGCCTCTGGGTCGAGGAGCGTTGATAGGACGCTGGCCACTGAAGCGAAGGTCGTGTCAAAGTGCGATTGGCGTAGGAAGTTGGGAGGATGTTGAGATTGGATGTGCGAGGGCCGGATAAACAGACGGGCCGATATTTTCTTGGCGTCATAGAGCTTTAGACGTATAACCGCAGTTGGACAGCCGATGAACATGAAGTACAGTACATTGCAGAACACTCCCTTGTGACCCTCTTCTATCGCTGCAGCATCCGCCGTCATGTCTTTTGTCTCTCGAGGGGCGAGAGCTGCAGCTCGTCCCTGGAGACGTGCAATCCAACAACGTCCACAACGCAGATTTGCTGGACACGAAGCTGGCCACGGCCACGAAGACGCACATCATCATTCTTCTGGAGAGAGCGCTCTCCACGTCGCAGGTGGATCGGGACATGAAGGATTCGGCGTGAGCAGGAGACTCCCTTCAAGAATTTGATGAGGACGTGCGAAAACTGACCACTTCCCGGGGGAACAGAGGGGATTCTACATTGCCATTGGCTCCGTCCCCTTCGCAATTCTCGTCTACTCAATCGCCAGCTCTCCCGGTGACAATGCCCTCACACGTCTGGTGCGGCAATATGACGCGGGCAGAGAGGTGTTGTTGAGAAAAGATGCAATACACACGACCATGATGGAGCAGGCAGCGGCGGATAGGCAATTGTTCGCTGCGACACCGACAGATCCCGCGGGTCCTCCTCTGCGACATCAAGAGTACGTACACCCTTTCTGCGGATGACTGCAATCTTAGCATCAGTGTTACTAAACCGGATATCCAGATCTTTCAACTTCGGGTCCCCTTGGAACGTTTCCGCTGGACAAGGCACGGCAGATCTCACGGCGTTGGCTAAATACTACGAAGGGAGACATAAAGAAGTGGAGCAAGAGCGGGTAGAGAGGCTCAAGAAACAGAAGGGATCCATTTACGACTCATAAGCAAGAGTGCCTCCCAGGGAATTTTTTTGGGTCGTGGCATTGTACATAAGGAAAGGCTTCCTCTGGTCTGCCGTGGCTGTCTCACAGTACACGAGTATACAAGGGTGACCACAAGCAATGAAGCATCATCATATGACGATTCGTGTTCGTCCTAGCGTGTACTACTGTAGTTGCGTTTCTACACGTCCTTTCCGGGCGAATTAGCCTTCCCTGGAAGCTTCCTCACCATGCAACGATTGTCAAAAGCTCTTTATAGATTTTGTTTCGGCACTTGCGTCGGGCCAGGCTCCCCAATGAGGGCGAGAAAGGATGCATGCACCTCTTCCGTAAGATCGCTTGCCTGCAAACTTCTCTGGTTCTTCACAAAAGCTCTCCGCGAACACTCTCTCGTGATGGCGCTCCCGCCGAACGCCGCCAACAAAAGCGTTTCCTCTCGACTCATCTCCTCCCCAATGTCCCAGAGCTTCTCGTGATAAGCCTCCCGCCACGCTAGCAACGTGCCTAACGAACCCGTCAAGGTATCACCCTGTCCACCGGAGCGCTTCAGACCACCTTGGAACTCGGAGACAGTGGTATCGATACCTTGTGAGATGTAGTCGACTGGGCCCTTTTGAATAATGCAGACTCCGCCGAGTATCTTGGAAAGCTCCTGGCATGCCTTCTCGGGGTCCCCAGTGTTCTGGTCCATGCCGACGGACTTGGCTAGACGTCCAAACTCAATCACATTGGGGGTAAGAATGCATTCCTTGTGGCCCCGGATCAGGTCCGGATCTGTCTGAACTAGCAGGAGGGCATCTGCATCCAGCACCATAGGGACGGGGGGGTTGTGTTTCTTAGCTGCGGCGATGACTGCCTTGACCTGCTTTTGCGTCACGGTATCTCTACCCAGACCGGGCCCAATGACCAGCACATGCAACCTGGGCAACATATCCAATATTGGTTTGGCGAGCTCCTCTCCCGAAGGATCCTGCTCTTTCTGCGCCTGAGATATGGAGGCCGTAGACCTGAGGATCGGGGACACCATCAAATTTGGCGAGTACGACTTGATGGTCGGGGCAGCCGAAGGTTCGCAGAAGACGTAGGACATGTCACAACCCAGCCGCGCAGAGGCCATGGCGGAGAAATATGGTGCCCCCGTGTAGTCTGCACTGCCACCGATGACGGCGACTCGACCAAGCTGACCTTTGTGGAATCTCTCCAGCATGGGAGGCACCAGCTTGTGGACTTTGCCCAGCATCGAACGCGCCGGCGCGGACATGTTGATCGCAGAGCTGGGATCTTCCGAATCCGGACTCATTTGGTGAGAGTGAGGTTAGTAAGGGGACAGAAACAGGAGAACGCTCTGACTGTTTGGGAACGAAGTAGACGAATGGCCCCGAGTAGCTTTCAGTTAAGGTAGATTGATTGCCGTGTTGTGTTGTTTCTATTTTGTTTTTCCAATTGTTAGATGGGGTGATGTCACCTACTGCACATGCGTCACGATTAATGCAGACGGATGCAGTCTCCGAAGCGAGCAATGGACCTGAACAAAGCTCATCCTTGCGTCTACTTGGTACAACTACGAGATCAAGGGTGCATGGAGCAGGGACCTCGTATTTAATGGTCTTCGATTGCTTCATACTGACAGACGGCCTCCAAGAACACATCCAGGTGCCAGACTTTCGAAGTAAACATGTACCCAGGACTGAAGCAAGAGAATCTCACCAGAAAGGAGTTATAACACGTCTCAGAACGCATATCTGCATGATTTCTATCTTCGTGAAGTAGCTCGAGGTATTTACAGCTTCCGTATCTGGGTGGCACGGGTCCTCCCCGTCACATCCTATCATGAAGCCGCTCAGGGTAGTACTATGCTGCTGCAGTCACCTCGATGTAATGGCTAGCAAGGCTCACAATCTGCTCCTCAAAATTCTTGAACTTGATGCCGAATACTTCCTCGGTTTTGCTTGCATCAAATGGCATTGGCAATGAGGGCTGACTGCCACCGAGTGGAAACACTCCTTGTTCCACAGCCTGAGGGAAATGTTTCTTTACAATGTCGATAGCATCGTCCCATTTGACGCCATTCACGTCGTAGTTGACTCCAAAGTTCTGGTTTCCTTGGATTTTAGAGTCCAAGGAGGCAACATGGACGTAAGCAACATCATCGACGTGACATGTAGCCCCCGGCATTCCATTGGGATTTTGCGTCCCTAAAAGCGAAATCAATGCAAGGGCGTTAGATCCAGAGTTAACCGCTGCCGGAGTAGTGGCAAGCTCGTTCTTGCCAATGACGAAGGTAGGCATGATGTTGACCACGGTGAAATGGGGTTTTTCCTCGCTGATGAAATCTCGGGTGCGATTGTAGGCGAGTTTCTTGCTGGCCGCATAGGCTGCGAAAGTATGAGGATATGGTCCATGGGGGTCTGGCTCGACGTTATCAGCCGTGTAAACTCGGGCATCCGGTGGAGACACGGCTGCCACGGAGGAGGTGATGACGACTCGTTGGATCGAGGGCTCTTTGAGAGCTGACCGAAGGATGCTCAGCGTACCCCTGATGGCAGGTCTGATAATGTTGACCTCGTCGTCCTCGGAAGGTCGTGCCAAAGGCGACGCAACGTGGACAACATAATCCACATCCTTGACAGCTTGGTCAAAGGCGCCATCCTTCTCAATGTCGGGCACTATGGAGAAGGAAAGCTGATTCAAGTATGGCTCGGTGGACTTGGCAGCCTTGATCTCAGCAGCTTTGCTTTCAGAGCGAACCGCAGCTCGAACTCTGTAGCCTTTGGAAAGAGCCTCGACCAGTGTACGATAACCGATATGGCCTGAGCTGCCGGTCAGAAGGATGAGCTGGGCAGACATGTCGGAAATTTTGTCTCTGGGAACGTGGCAACGAAAGAATCAAAGGCAGTATCGAATGCTTTGGACTTGTCTCGGAAATCGACTTGAAGACTAAAGGAAGAATTCAGAGAACGCGAATCCCTTCATTTATAGTCCTTGTTAACGCACAACTTGATCTTACCTCACCTCTTCAATGCTCTCTCCTATGCCTAAACACAAGGCATATCCTCTTGAGACAAATCCACTTTGAGTAATCATTATATTTGTCGAGAGTCTAATGGGTTTTGTGGCTAGGAGAATTGTGCCGTATCAGGATAAAGTGCTCGTACACCAAGAGAGTAGGTACGAGTAGACAGTGTTCAAGCCAGCGTTCGACAAATCGGAGCGGCAAGACCCATGTCCAATTGATTTGTGGCCTTTGGCTGGGCTGATATTCGGTTGATGCATGTTGATGATCCCCAATTGCCTGTTTGCGACTAGAGAAGGATCGACGCAAACTTGAGTAGCAGGATGGTTACTCATCGGAAACAAGGAAGTTGTGGAGGTGGTTGCCACCCAGTTGCAGTTCTCCACGACGCTGACGGCGAGTTCCAAGCAGAGGGTTTTCGGTGCCAGCGGTCTGTCAGCTCTTAGATTGTGTGTGAGAAGCTCTTTGAGGTGGACCCGTTGTTATCTCCGCTTGCGCTCGGTGATTTCGCTAGGGTAGAGCAAGAAAGCCAATTTGTACTTCCGCTTACCAACCACAGTCAGCGTTTCTGGTGAGTGAAACGACGACTGTGCCACCATCCCCTTCTTTGTTGAATACTAAACACACCTAGCCACTGAATGTGGCGCATACTCCCCGTGTTCGTCAACGGCCGTACTGTTTCTCCTTACGTTCATCGCCCGACATGCTTCAGCAACGGGATATAGCCCAGCTGAGAGCTTTTCATGCTACGCATTTTGCCACTCAGCCAGTCCCAGACCTGATGACTTATCCGCTGAACGCTCCAGGCCAGACTGAGCCCAGCCATGATGCTGCTATCGACGACGACAACCACGACGAGGGCAGCTTGGGTTATTACGACGATGGCGTCAAGAGGACATTGACGGATAACCAGATCAAGATGTTCCGCCACTCCGAGATTCAGCGGCTGCTAAGTGAGAGAAGAGTGGCTAGAGCGAAGGAAGAAGCGAAAGCAAAGTCGAAGGAATGTAACAACAGCAGTAGCAATGGCCGCGAATCGAGGAAACGGCGATTCGAAGACGAGCCAGCACCATCTCATTCCCATGTTGAAACTTTGACCTACGACGAAGAGCCAGAAACCGAGAAAGCATTAGTGACAACTACAAAGAAATTTCTGTGGCCAGTTCTCGGGCAGGTGTCTAAGTGACTTACGGTATCATGCCGCTTTACCTCTTCGCATTTCCAGGTCATCGATACTGGTTTACATACCTTGGAAGGCTCACAAGTGCTACAAAATATACCACGATGAAAGCTCTGGAACACAACTTGGTACGTAAACATTACTTTTTGATTCATCCTTTGATTCATCCATATCTTAGATGATGAGTTCTTGTATCATCCTTAGTCTGAAGCGGGCGTCGAAAGCAGCCTCGGCCTTGCTCGATGATTGTTTTCGACAGCCAACCCCGCCTTGCTGAATCAATCTTCTCTCTGATCGTGATATCTGCCTCCAGTAAAGATCATGAAAATAATCTAGGACAGCTGCTGACTGTTTGGCTCGAGGAGACCCTCTCATCATTTGCGATGACAAGCCCTTTTAGGTGATTTTGAAGATGGGCCTGCAGGCTCCGTTGGTGCTTTCCGCTTGGGGGCTCTGGTGTCGTGGCCCGTGGGCCGTCGTTCTGGTTGCCTCTCAGGGATGTTTGGCTGTCCTGGCCCATCCCCCCCCGAGTTATTGCTTGACTGTGTTCCGAAGGACAAAGAAGCCTGTGGGCTTCCTTCAAGCCCTCCGTCGACCGGTGAACGAGGCAAACATTGACCAATACCAACAAGGTCTGTTTCACTCGAAGTAACATGATCGATCTGCATGTTACGATCAGAGTTCTCGAAGCTGTCACTGCTACTGCCACCACCACCGCCACCCGTACTGTGGTCGTCGCTTGGCTCGATCGAGGTATTCCTCGAGCACACTGCATTCCATCGTCAATCTAGACAGCCGAGAGAGAAGGGACAGACTTCCACCCACCATGAGACCAATCGTCTTTTTGAGTATCACCACCTACCCCGATAGTCTGGGTTGGTTCCTCCTGATCACGGTGCCCAAAATTCAATCGGACGGGCTCCATTTTGGGCAATGCAGAATAAATTGTTAATGAACTAGACGTCTGTTGAGCGTGGACATGGAAGTGTGAGGGATCATTGCTGCGGCTGGGCTGCTCATTTTATACTTGAACAACTCCTAATTATCCAGACTCTCACTCCTCTCTTCTTGAACAAGAATCCACACAACGGATTCCAGTAATACACCACTAATTTCTCTGTCGTCATCACACCGCTACATCAAAACACGGAAGAGTCTACGCCATGCCGACAGACAGCAAGTGAATGGCAGCCACGCGTGGACCTTCAGGTGCGTGGGCCTACGCTACTGCATTTCTGCACGTTCCGGTGCCTGTTGGTGGACTCGCCTCAAGGCGCATCTTTACCCCAGCAGTTTTCGTTGGCGTTGTTCCCCCTATGGTTTCCATTGACACGAGGATATTTCAGACCCAGAAGAACTTCTAGGGGCTTCAGGGGTCCATCTTGTGGTCAAGCCACCGACCGAGCATCGAGAAGTCGAGGCTCCTGAACCACCTCTTGTGGTTACCAGACATGTCTGCCGTCGTCACAGCAGCTTTGTGGTCTACCACCTCAGCCTTTCCGTCTCTTGGATGGTGGAGCCTGACAGTCCGGATTAGCTAGCTAACAAGGACAACGTTACAGAAGAAAGCCTCCCCGGCCGACTAGTTTCGGGTCACTTCGTCAAACCTTATGCATGTTCTACCAAGGAGGGACGTGTCCCGTTTCACCCGGATTTTCTGTCTAGGATGTTGTTTGCTCTCTGTGTTGGCCTCGTAGCGCCACCTCATGCGAACTATCGTGAATCCTCTACAGAAATACCGGCTAGGCTTCCTGGGCCCCTGCTAGATGCATTGGTCACTGTGACGAGGTTGGGAAGCTTCTCATCGGCCGCAGCAAGAACGTGATGGGCCCCCCTCCCCTGACAAACATCTTCGAAGTGGCCGGAGATCGGGCCGCCCCTGGTGCCCAAACCTTACAAACCTGCCGGACGAAATAGGTCGTTTTGTGGCTAAGTGGAATTTGGCTCTGGCCTCAACGGCTTATGGGACGAGACCACCTTTTCATCCCCCCTCGTTCGCCCGGGTAAAGTTACAATATCAGTGTTACAGAGGTTGAACGTTGAACGGGTCATAGTGGTGGCTTCACGATCCTAGCTCCTCGCGATGGAAAGAAATAGAGGCGGTGAACAATGGAATGAGAAGCGCATGCGGCCAGCTGCCAGCACACGTCGATCCAGGTTGCTGCCATGAGGATACAACCCCCTTTTCCCAGGACCGGTGTACTGGTTCATGGTGTCATACCGTCAAGCGACTCGAATCAGTCACGACAACCCGGGGATCTACCATGCCAGAAGCAACGTCTCTCCTGATTGAAGGATACAAGGTTGAGAAAGGCGAGGAGAGGCGCCGCTGCCATGCGTTAGGCGGACGGGGATGTCACCCGTTGGTGTGGATTAGCCCTAAATGGTCACTCTGGCTTGACAGGAATGCTATCTACGAGTGGGGAGGGAGTTGATCAGGAAACCTGACCTGCATTATCACAGGCGTCGCCTTGATCCTCCAGGTGGAAATTTGTTGGTTATTTCTGTCTCGAAGACGGCTGTTCCCGTCGGACCCTCATGAGCCGAAGAAGCACACAGTGATGTCTCTTTCCTGGCCGATTGAGGGGGCGCGCCCACCTCTCCAGTAACTTCCCGCAAATTCTCCCTTGGCCTCCTCTGAGACCTGTTGGCTGCCTGTTGCCACTCCGCGGCAGCCCGGCGGTCGTGCCAGAGTGCAGATAAAGTCTCTGCTTCGAATTCCTGTACCGGGCTGAGGCAGAACGCAGCATAGCCCTTCCTCCTTGTCCACCCGTCATATCGCACGAGTTTGAACGCTTTTCCTTATGCGACGTCGCACTTCAGGAGCAAGTCTTGCAGACCAACTGGTTTGTGTGCGCAGGTAGCTCCATGAGACGCCTCAGCGGGTCCAGCTGCCGCATTTTTGCAAGCATCCATGACTTGAAAAGTTAGGAATTACAACCCCTAGCTGAGTTGACTCTCTTGTCACTCAGGCGTAACTCGGCATCACAGACTCTTACCATGCTCCTGAATACAGTAACGCAACACACATACGTTCCTCTTCTCTACAGCCGCCACAAGATGCTATGAATTCTGCAGACATGCAAACTATTCCCTTTCGAACTCTGATATACTCCTTCCCTACATGATGCAGATTCCACCTTTTCCTTGACCACTTCACTATCACAACCATTCTACCACCGCACTTTGAACAAAATATCACCCAAGACTACAATATCAACGAGCAGCGTGCCTACATTTGGAATCCAAAATGGTACAGCAAGAAAAAGAAAGAAAAAAAGGGGGGGGAAGTCGGAAAAAGGAGGAATGGGGCTCACCAGATACCGGGTTCGAACCAGGCGCGACTGGTATTCTTCCATCACAGTCAATGGACTTTGATGGCGAGGGACAAGTGATTTTTGACTGCTACAGCAGACTGGTATACTGATCTTTTTTTTATTTTTAAATTGTGACTGAGGAATCTGGGATCTGGGACTTCTGATCATCTAGCACGGTTCCAGAACGAGCCCTGTTGTTGACAACTTGTTGTTGCTGAGTTCCCTGAACGTTGTGACCCTTTGTCGTCGATTTTCTCTTTGCTGAATAGCCTTCACGACGCGTCAAACTAAGAAAATATCTCTAGTTGATACGATCCTACAATCGCTTTCTCTTCTCGACTGCAAGTACGCACTCCTCACAGACGGAGGAGACAGCAAAATTTGTCGCACAAACAATCCCCTCTGTTGTTGATACCAGATCAACAAACACACCAGACCAATCGCCGACACTCTAGATCTACCCGTCGACTATGATATCTTCGAGGATCTTATTTTGGAACACCATGGATAGGCATGGATTAAAAGAGCAGGTTGCCAATGGTAGAGCATGGCTCATTCACAAACTAGCCCTCGTCACGGAACCGTGGCGCAGAAAGAAACATTCACAGCGGCAGTGATGTTCCCGTGATAAAGTTCGACAGCACAGAGAAAGCTTTCCAGGTCCATGGATCTTCTTCCCTTTGCTGGGAGACGACAAGGCCGAAATCCCATACAAGCGCGCCGTTTTGATACAGACTTCGAGCTAGTCCGCCCTGCAGAAGCTAACTCCACAGCGCGATATACGCTAAATCCATGTTCGCTAATATCAGATCCACGTCGGCTAGCTATAGAGAGCTGCACGCTCAACGAGCTGTTCTACTGTCTAATTTTGCGAACCTCACAAGGGCCGTCGGGCAAGCGGAAACCCTATTAAGCCATAACCTGCGCTGAAGTCACTACTCTCACCTTTGGGAGATGCGCTCATTGTCTGGCCCGTTGGATATCGTGTCCGAGCATTCGAGTCAATGCAGGGAGTGCACCTCAGACTCGAGAGCATGACCAAAGCTTAACGCTCAAAATGCTGCAGAGGCATACATTTCTCTAACTAGGATCTCGAAACAAAACCTGAGGGATGACCCCTTTCTGTCAGACGTCAGGGCATTCACTCATTCTCTACTGGTGAATTCGTTGACCCAGGAATTATCTTCTGTGAGCAGAATTTAGGGCTATTGCCATCTGAGGTTCAACAATTCGGAAGCTAAAAGCTGACCACTGAAGTGCACAGAGCAAAGCTCTAGCGAGAGTCTAGGCTCTTTGCGCCGACAATGCAAGGGGAAATGAAGATGAAAAAGAAAGAAAAAGAAACCCTTGGGTGCCGAGGGCTCCCATTATCCTTCTGTTGATTCGTTTCATTGTATGCGTATTTTCTTTGGCTGCTCAGGTTTGTTGCGTTCTTTTGTTTTTGTTTTTGTGTTTTTCTGATAGGGGAGTCATGCAAGGCTGCAGAGTTTGATACGAACTTGCATCTTCCGCCCCCTTTCAAAAGAGGCGTACCAGTGAGGCGCTGGCGCCGCTTCAGGCAACCCAGGCGAATGACTTGCAGACGACGGCGCCTCGGTACGGTAAAGCACCTACTCGTAAAGGGGATCGGGGACCCGTCAGGGGATGAGCAGAGGATGTCTCTCTCTCTGTCTCTCATGCTCTCAGCGG